TAATCCCAGGTAGAGCGCGTGGCGTGATCCGAACGGGAGGAGTGCGGGGTACAAAAGGAACTCCACAGGGGTGAAATTACTCGAGTTCCTTATACGCTACTCGTCCATAACGATTACAAGACATTTATACGCCATATCTGTCAACATGACCGTTACATGTGACTGTGTCATTTAAATTATCGTTTATTAAATTCACCGTGAAGTTTTTATTAATTTTTTTAATTCATTGACGGTTATAACACGTGATACAGTTAAGCAGTGTATTTCTTATATTTTTATAATTCGTTAATAGTATTTAATACGAATTTATTTGGATATAAGTGAAAATAATATATTTGCATGTAAGTGATTACATCTATATTTATAACGTACATATATTTGCAGATTAAATATGTTTACTTCCTTACTAATAGACATACTATATAAATTGAAAGTGAATTTGTTTGTTTATTTGTTTTTAATTGTTTTTTACCTGTTATAGCCTTAAAGGCTAAATCGCGGTTAAATATTAGTTACATAATAATTATACAATAAATATAATAATGTAATAATTATACAAAAATACATAATAATTTAATGAATATGAAACTTGATTCTGATCTATTTTTCTACATTAATTACAATAAGTAAACAATCTTACTATTATATTTTAACTAAACAAAAACGCATAAAATAAACAAATAGTTAAAAGGTTTTCGTATTATCTATATATTTATCCTTTCTAATATTATAAATGTGAAAGTGAGTTTGTTTGTCACCTTATAGCCCCTTACGGCTTAACCAATTCCTATGTAATTTGGTATACACATATTATATTTAGTGGATTATAAGCTACTTTTTATCCCAGTCAGTAAACATATCCAGGTCACACGGACGAAGTCGCGGGTAAAAGCTAGTATATATAGGTATAAAAGAAGATACGGAGTGACTGACTGACTGACCCAATATACGTGTATCAGCGCACAGCTGAAACCGCTTAATCTAGAACCTTTAATTTTTTCATATCTTTATGTAGCGTAAGTAAACAATATAAAAGAAATTTTGATAATTCAACCCCTAAGGGAGTAAAATTGAGGCTGCAAGATTATATGAAATTTCGTTAGTTTAAAAGTTAGGCACGTGAAATTTTAGATTTAGTCTCATAGTTTAAAACAGAAATTAATATGTTTATTGGCTTTTGAAAAATTCCCCCCTGAAGGGGGGAAATAAAGCTTAACAGTTTATATGGGAGTTCTGTTATAATTAAAACTAGAAGTTTGAAACTTTAGTTTCGAACTTCTAATTAAAAATAAATATAAAATAGTATTTCACAAAAAAAAAACAACTTAAGTCGTAGAAAAACTAGTTATTTTAAACTAAAGTACTTAAAATATTTTGATAAAATTTTTATATGACCAATCTATAACCATATCCTTTCAGATAAAAAATATTTTTCCAAATCGATTTATAACTGACGGAGTTATGAGATAATGAACATATAAAACAAAAACAAATTGAGAAATTCCTTCTTTTTAAAGTCGGTTGAAAATATTTTTCAGAATTGATGAAAGTTTCGCCCAAAAAAGGATGAAATAAAGGATGAACAATCGTATACCAATCGTATTTTTTAGATGCCCAATAATGGCGGAAAATAGCGATCTTAATTTTGTATATAATATCATATAATGTATTTACATACATTACATGATATTATATGTTTGTGCACATAAATAATTGACTAGGATATTGATAGGATAGGACTTGACTAGGATTTTCCTTATTTATCTAGTTAGAAGTGTAAAAGTTTGTTTTTAGACTATTAATTAAGAACATAACTTTATTCAAAAGTTTTTAGAAATTTTACCGCTAAATTAGATAGGGAATGATTTGATATAGATTCAAATTTGTATGTAATTTTTTTAATATAATAAATGTACTTGTTACAAGATAGAAACCCAAATCGAACTCTGTGCAGACGAAATCTCGAGCAAAAGCTTTACTTTATAATATTGAGAAAGAAAAGTGATTCTCGCGAGAAGTCGAATACCAGACACCAGCGAATAGCAGGCAGTAGCTAGTTCATTATTATCTATTTTATTTTTATATAACAAAATTCGATAAAAAGTCGCTCTAATATTGTTCACTAACTTTTAAAATAATATTCCAATTAGTGGAATGAGCGATGATTGCTCACCGAAAACTAACATGAATCTTAATCGAAACCCAACCTAAACCTCTTAACTCTAAATTCAAATTTGCATTATTTCCAATTCTTATCAATTATTAAATTTATACTTAAGCATTGTTTACGCATATTTTAAATTCACAAATGGAACGTAATGCGACGCGATTACAAGTATATGGTACCTAGATATCAGATTTTTTATTGATGACATTTTGACGTGGGTACACATTGTTTTTTTTTTTATACAACTTAGAATGGCAAACAAACTGACAGCCCACCCGATGGAAAGTGGTAACCGTCGCCTATAGACATGAGCAGTACCATCGTGTACAGTCGTGGCCACGGTAGGACTGAAGTGAACGACGTCTTTATTGGCAGTCCTCGCAATTTCTTCAGCCACCCTCATGTAATCACTATTGTTATCTATACCCACCCTACACACCAGACACGTTTAAACAAATTGTCGCGTGATTTAAGTGTATTATAATGTCCCCATCGTGAATTTAAAATATGACTCACTTACTCAGGAAAGGTAAATACCGTCCACCAGTAAGCCACGTTAAAGGCTTACGTGTAAAATGGAAGTAAAAACTCCTGATATCAGAAGACAATACCCTCACACAAGTAGTAATAGTAGTAAAAGTAGAAAATATAAAATATGAAAAAAAATAGATAATGACCTACTTAATACAGGCAAAGGTAATCTAGGATGACCCTTATTTTTTATATTAATGCTTATAAACCTATGTTCGCATAAGTAATATAATTCCTGTATACATCACGCATACAGGAATAGCATAATTATATCTAATGATATTTACCTGTAATTACAAATTAATATACATTGTATTTGTAATTGTAGATACATTGATATATACTATGCAACTTGTCATAATGCAGTTAGTTGCCGGGATACGCGAGTCGCAACAAACATCAATACATACCTACATTTAGTTTAAACCAAGAATTTTTTATGCTACGTACGTAATTTATGTTTAAAACTATTTGAAGAATATGTATTATGGCACAAAAGTAAGATTAATTATTATATTAAATATAAATACGCAAAATTTGAAATGATTTTTTTTATTTTAAAAAACCAATTTCAATTGAACTTGATTTATATAAGACAATTCTGAAAATAAACACAATTGAAAAATAATCACCATCACTCTATCCAGCACAGAAATCCCATAGAAATTTAAATTCGAAAGTCAGATATACTTAACATATCTTGATTTAAATTAAACGGGTATCTTACAGCTTGTTTTTACTAAACATTTGCATATAACACCTTGACCAGACACAACTTTAATTATTCCTCTCCATCCTAAAGTTGCCTGGAAGAAATAGCTACGAGTATTTAACAATAAGGTTGTCCATTGTTGCCTCTTTTTCTTTCTTTTATATAATTAAATATTCATTTTGTTTTTGTACGTATTGTTTATCTTTATAATCTGTATCATTCTTTGAAGGGAACAATAAATAGTTTTCATTTATTCATTCATTCATGTACAAATTTATAGGAATGTTATAACGTAAACGGCTACCGTTTTTAATTACAATTGCTGATGACGGTTTTATAAACATTTTCTTTGTTGTTTCACTGTAATCATGTTTGCCTGTTTCCATATGCAATTTTACGTAGCAACCTGTAATTTTTATTTGTGCATTTATTCAATAATAATACGTGTAACACGTAAGTATCTCTAGCAATTTATTACTTCGCCTTGACATTCGAATTAAAAGCGATCGCCTAAATTTTATCGTCGCAACATTTAGCTACTCGGCCAATTGTCTAAATTAGGTGCTCATTTGTTTGTATTAAGTGTCATATATGCCTATTTGTAATAGTCACATCGATATTTCATAGACGGAGTGTTGTGCCGTGATTGCCGAGGTCCGAGGGAGCAAGGCACGTCGAGTCTGCCTTATAGTTCTAGATCATATACATCTAGATGGAGCGTTATGGGTAAAAAATGTCACAAAAATTATTAATCGATGATTGCGTCGGCTAATGTATTATTTTTGGATGCTAAATATTCAAATGTTAAATTTTTAATAAATTATACTTAAGAAGGTATGGAAGTAAGCACACAACTAGTATTTTTTAATGAATGAAAATGAAATGGCAAACCCCACCTGTGCTATCGGTATACGCTGGCGGAGTACTAATGACAGATAATAATTAAAAACAAAAGAGTTGACCCATCGTGACGAATTTAACAAGAAATAACCATGATAATTTTCAGGGGAAACCATATGGTTGACATGGGTTTTAAGCCCCCCCATTACTAACAACCCATTTCCCACTATAGATGTTATTATATACTAATTGTTGATGTGTGACCCGCAAATGTTGTTTTGTCCCTTACTACCATCTACCGGCTCTTGTTTCTCTCTCTCTTTGGAAGGAACAATGCATTTTTTTGTTGAGTAGTTTTGGAGATTAGCATAAAAAACATGATGACACGTGATTTTTATATATTAAAATAATAAAATAGTAATTAGACGATATCTGTGCATAGAAAATACTAAAGAAAAATTTATTTTGAGTGATTGTTTTAATAAAAGTGGTTAAAACCAAAATTTTACAATTAATGGTTTTATACAAATTAATTTAATCTGTATAAAACCAACAATTGAAAAATTTACTTTAACAAATTTTTAAGTCCTTAACAATTTTTGTCCGTGTTTGTCTGTTTATCGCGGAATGGTCCCGATCAATTTAAATAGTCAAATTGATTTTGTCGAAGCGTTTATAGACCTACACTCTATCTAGATGCTATTGATCTAAGCGCACAGCATAGGAATTAATTTCAATCGAGACCGCGAACGTTATTGACTGGCGGCGGCGCGCGGTGCCCGGTCTACGCAGGCCGGATTACGGAGCCCGGCTCCCATGCCTGACAGTGGCATCCCAAGCGGCGCACATGCGCACGTATCAAATGCATTTAGCACCTTTTTGAAAACATCGCGAAATACGAAACACTTGCCTGCATTTCCTTTCGGATACATTCCAATGAAATACGAATCAACGTAGCCGTTCGGCGTAGTGGAATTGGTTTACTGGCTCAGGATAGCGCGGTCTACACACCTAACAAACAGTGACGCTCCGTAACATATATTTCTATAGAAGAATGAAATTGCCCAGACTGGATTTATGTAAGTTATTTTCGTTTTTATTTTATTAGATTCATGTAATACAAATTCATGTTTTAAAATAACAATATATCATTAATAATTACCTTTATTAATGAAAATCTTTAAAATTATAAAAACCTAAAAGGTAATTAAAATGTAGCAATAGTAATAGATATACGGTATTTATATATTAATTAATATGTGAGTAATAAACACATTTATAACGATCCGGTTAGCTCAGCAACAAAAGTGGCCTTTTTCCAACAGGTGTGAAATGCGAAATCGAACCAAGGTAAATATTTATGAATTGCAAACATCTAGTTATTTATACCGAGGTATAAAATGAAAACGACTAGTTTTTCTGATATCATACACTAAATTGCTACTATTCCTGAAAGAATAAGATGTTTTTCCGGGGTAAAATTTAATTCATTCCAAATTTACAGAATTTCACATGCATACTTTCTTTACAAAATAATCACTACCATTTGTTACCAACTTCATTAGTCTATTTTGATGTTCTAGAAGCATGAACCTTTACACTAATACTCATAGATTATTTTCATACTGTCCGTGTGACATGAAACTATGATTTAGGTCTCATACAAACCGCCTCATCACTAAATAATTTTTTTTTTAAACTTTTTTCAACAATGAACCGCTAAATATGTCACTAAGCCCAAAACTCGAGACTGGCTGGTCAATTCGACGATTTTTTCCCCATTAGTCATTGAAATCTAAGAAAAGTTCTTACGAAGACAAGAATTGAAAAAATTCTCAGAAAAATCGTAAAAACTCGTTTTTGTTTTGCTCATACAAACTCAAATCTAAAGCTTTTTACTGAATGACATCAACTGGCTTAGTCGACAATCAGCCAGTTAATAATATTAACAAAAAATAAGATTAGTAGGCAGTACGAGATTCCAGAGATTAATCGATACTATACTTAACTCTAAAACTATTTTTACCGTGTGGTCCCGGCATAGAATAGGCTACCTATTCCTTTACTATGGGTGTCGTAAGAGACGACTAAGGGAGGACGAGAGATGGGCAGCAGCGTCCTTCTTAAAATATCTCCAAAACCTAACTACGATTGCCAATCCGTCTGCCAAGCGTGGCAAATACTGACAAAACCCCCCAAAGGTAAGGCTTATGTTCAGCAGTGGACAGTTAAAGACTGATATGATACTAAACTCAACTGGACAGCAGCATCCTTCTTAAAACATCATCCAAGCCTAACTATAGTTTCCATACCGCCTGCCAAATGTGGCAACTATTGCCGAAACCCTCTAAGGGGAAGGCCTATGTTCAGCAGTGGACAGTTGGTGGCTGATATGATGATGATGACTACACTAAACTCGCATACTTTGTCTACACCAGCCTTTGCCAAAGTGGGCGATAACACCCCCTTTGTGGGCACTGCAGGCCTAAAGGGGGGCGGTAAGAGACCCAGAAAAAAAGGGAGTGTTGTGTAGAGGCTTAAGGGGTGACTTGTTGATCTTGTAGTAATAGTCGTTTTTTAAGTAGGTGAAAAAATGGGGGCGCTAAAAAATAATTTATTCTCAGAGTGGGCAGTAGACAAAATAAGTTTAGGAACCCCTGGTCTACACAAAGCGCTATAGCAAACGAATACGTTATTATAGCATTAAACAAATTCATACAGTAGCCGCGGAAACTGCTTGTTAATAATCATACATGCCTATTTTTCCATTATTAGGCCGTATCGATTAGTTGAATCGGTCATAATGTCAACAGAGGCCATGCAGTAGCATTGTGCTCGTGCCAGGTTGCTTTATTTAGAATTTACTTCATAAGGTACGAACATAAGGATTACGGTTATTAATTTTGGTAAAGTAATACAAAATTTTAAGTATTGTAAGGTAACTAGAGATACAAATCACAAAGACGTTACAGATTAACTGTTTGTTATAATATTTTCAGCCTTGCTAATATTATAATTCTGAATGTAAGTTTGTTTGTTTGTTACGTAATAGCGCCTTAACGGCTTAAGTAATCACCATGAAATTCTGTATTGCATAGAATGGGGGCGGATATATGATACTTTTATCCCGGTAAGTAAACATATTTTAGTCACGTAGACAAAGTCGCAGGTAAAAGTTAGTAACGAATAAAAACCAGGCCTCAGTTTTGCAAAAATTACTGCATAAAAAATATTATAAGTAAGTTAGGAGATATCTTAGATTATCACGAAAATTTTTTAAACAGATAAATATCTGTGCACTGAATTTCAATCAAAAATGCATTCAGTCGTTTGAATAATAAACATCCAAATGTCTTTAAAAAATTTCATAGCCTACCAATACTAAAAACGTGAAAATTTTGAAATTATTTATTTATTTCAGGCAAATATACAGATTTAACAACACATGACAATTACATTAATAAAATAATTTATCACGAAATATAGTTTGTATAAAATCTTAGTACAAGTGAAGAAAACACAAAAAAAAACAATACTATCGAAAATTACAGCAAACATGCAAAAATTTGAATAACCAAATCAAACGAAATTAATTACATTTTTTAACAGATAAATTATAAGTACCAAGATTACAATTAAATATTATAAGCATATATACATAACGAAATAATTTCAATTTATTTTATCGCAAAAAAAGTTATACCCACACTAAAATAAAACAAACACTTTTTACCCTTAGCGCAGAAAATCATTTATATAAATTTCAAATTACCCACTCACACATTCGGTGTGCTCAATAGAGCGAAGCATTACTTTACGCCGGATCAGCGATTAATGCTCTACAAATCGCTAATCCGGCCCCACATGGAGTATTGCTGTCACTTATGTGCTGGAGCACCTAAATACCAGCTTGAGCCTTTCGACTCGTTGCAACGACGAGCTATGAGAATTGTCGATGATCCCAGGCTTATAAGCGGTATCGAACCCTTAAGTCTTAGGAGAGATTTTGCCTCACTTTGCGTGTTCTACCACCTGTACAATGGATTGTGCTCAGAGGAATTGTTCAATATGATGCCTACAGCCACTTTCTACCATCGTACGGCTCGCCATCGACAGGGAGTTCATCCTCATGTCCTACAGCCTCAATGGTCGCGTACTGCGCGGTTTCAGAGATGTTTCCTCCCACGAACACTCAGGTTGTGGAATGAGCTCCCTGCCGAGGTTTTCCCAAGACTACAGCATGGGGTTCTTCAAAAGGGGGGTAAAGAGGTTTCTTCAGGGTCGGCAACGCACGCGTAATACCTCTGGTATTGCAGGTGTTCATAGGCTACGGTAACCACTTACCACCAGGTGGCCGTATGCTTGTTTGCCACCTCAGTGGTATAAAAAAAATAACCATTTAAGACTAAAGGAATTAAAAAAATTGACAGGTAACCAAACAGACTGACGGACGACCCTCTTTTTGTTTTATTATAGTATCACGAATCTTAATTTAGTCAATAGAGAACCTATTAGATTAAGAATTTATTAAAATAATAGGATTATTAAAATAATTTGTCATCAATGAATCAATCGAAATAATATTTTTATACAACTTAGAATGGCAAACAAGCTGACGGCCCATCTTATGGAAAGTGGTAACCATTGCCTATAGACATGAACAGTGCCATGGACATAACAGAGTATATATTTGATTTATTCATATTTAATAAGTTACGTAGTCTATTCTGAGGTACGGTGAACTTTTGTTAATTGAAGTTAAAATCGATATTATGACTTTATAATTCTAAGCATATATATACATATTACGAGCATAAAAGTATTTGTTTGTCACCTCTTGGCCATAAAATTTGATGTACGAATATTAAATGGGATGGATATACCCATTACATACCCATTACACAGACTAACTCACTAAGTAAAAACTAGCATTATAAAACCAAATTCTTTCTACCCTATTTCATACTAGCTGTATCCCGGGATTTCACCCACGTGTATTAGTAAGTACATAAAGTATCCTATGTGCTAAATTAGAATAAAATCTATCCGTTGTACCAAATATTCAAATCCATTTAGTAATTTTTGTGTGGAGACAACAGCTGAATTTCTTACTCAGCATAAATTGTATTACAAACTGGACGGTAGATTAAAAAAAATACTATTAAAAAAGCTTGTAATTGACTTTGCTTGAATAAAAAAAAAAAATTATTGTTTTTATTAACGTAACGTCCGTCCGTCCATCCATCCCCACAAACTTTCGCATTTATTTTATTATTAGTAGAATAGTCATATAATATAATATAATATAGTCATAATCATTAGTCAAACTTATCTCTCTCAAACTAAATTTATAATAATTTTACCTAAAATCTATAAGAAATTTAGTTTATATTGCTCCTCAGAATAAAGATTTTTCTGCGACATCAAATTGAAATTTTAATTTTAGAAATAGGTTTAAAAAAATTACGACTCAGAATCGGCTCCATTGTCAATGAAATGTGTAATTTCCGACCTACATACAAATGAGTTCATAATTGCAGTCCCAAAATAGTGCCTAATACCCGCACTAGGTACGTAGGTACCAACTACCAAGTGTACATAATTAATTTTACCTTCAAATAAAATATTGGCTGCAAAGTATTCATATTATGCCTATTTTAATGACAACTGTCATATCTCTCACTCTCTTTAGTGATAGATATCTACCACTACCAATGACGAATGTAACTTCTATGTTCAGTAATTAATTTGTTTAGTAAAGGAATGTTTAGTACCAATTTTTTCAGAAAATTCATTTCATTTAATGCATCCTTCCCCATAAGAAAAACCTCCTGTATTTTTACGTATATTTTAACTAAGAACTAGCTTCTCACATATTTATTTTCAATTTATGGAAAACTTAATTTCCTCGTATAGATAAAGACGCTTTCTTAAAAACGGACAATGCGACTACATCAAGTACCCAACAAATTTTGCAAATAACTCATTGTTAAATATTTCCAAATATTAATTTATAAACAAAGTTGATTTATATAATCCAATATTAAGTATATCTAGATGTATTAATACTTAACAAAAG